TGTTGTTAATATTCTGTTCTAATAGACCCTCTAAACTTTTCCTTTGATCACTTTAATTCCTTCACTCTTAATTAGACTTTCTGTACAATCTTAAATAATTCCTCTCTGTCCTTGATGTTTATACTTTTCAGATATTTGTACGTGGCGATGTTAAGCTTAGCAGATGCTTAGTGCACCTGTAACATGCCACCCATCCACACAATATTTCTATCAGTGGTGCCAAGCATTCGCACCACCACTAGGATTCTACTTTGACTGGTGCTGGATTAGTGTTGACAGCAAGCACTGATGTGTCAGCTTTATCATTTCTTTTGATATTCCCACAGTGCTCCTGCCCACTCTTCAGTGATGCCTTTGACAGCTCAGAGCACTGGATGGGTCACTGGTCTAATGGCTATATGCAGGCTTCCAATGTTCTCATTTCTCTCCGGCCCCTATTTGTCACTGTCCATGTATGCCACAGAGGTTCCACTGCATTAGGTAGGTAAGGAGGAATGTGCTGGGCCCTATGGAAGCATCTGGCGGGGCGGCCTCGCTCCAGTCCCTGATCTAGATCACTTCTGCTTCTGTCTCCCAGGGAGAGAACTCGAGAGAGGGGAAATCTGTTATTTCATCTGGAAAATAAAATGGGAGGGACCAGAGCTAAAACTTAAAAATTGAAGACAAAAAAGATAAAATCGGGCTCCTTATCTCCTCAGGCAGAGGGACCCAAAGGTGGCAATGCTTGTCTTAATAGATACCAGGCCACATGTGGTCTGGCATTGGGTCTAGAGGTTACTGGTGACTATTTCATCCTAGTTGCAAGTGTGGGTGCATAGCACAGCATAGGCTGTGCCCTTTGAAATGCGCACGTAGCTTCTCGGGCAGGACGGACCATTCAAATAAATCAATGGAACAAACCAAAAATGAGAACAGGTGCAAATGGATATATATTACAGGCATCATGCCAGCTGCCTAAGGGAGTACTCTGGGATAACATGCAAATATTCCTGATGTTTCAGTGCTTGCAGGGATGCTTACGGCCTGTGTATGTGGTGCATTGTGTGTGACAGCAATAAGGTGGTTGGTGTTGGATGTTCCATAGTTCTGTTAGCAACAGCAGATAAGATTAATAGAGTAAGGCCAGAAGGACTCCTGCATAAAACAGTCCATTGAACCTCACCCCTCCCTTGTGGCTGAGCTATAGCTTATCTTTAGAAAGACATCCAGTCTTGGTTTAAAGATTCAAGTAATGGAGAATCCACCATGTCCCTGGGTACATTTCAGGCCCTCTCCCCCCACCCCACCCCACCCCAAGTTTAATTACCATCACTGTTAAAAATATGCAACTTATTTCTGGTCTGAATTTATCTAGCTTGGGCTTCCAGCCATTAGGCCTTATTATGCCTTTTTCTGCTAAATTAAAGAATGGTCTGCTATCTGAAATCTCTTCCCTATATAGGTTCTTGTGATTGTTGTGGTTTAACTTTTTCTTGGATAAACTAAATAGACTGAGCTTCTTAAGTCCCTTGCTATAAGACATATTTTCCAGACCTCAAATCATTTTTGTGGCTCTTTTCTGAACCTTATTCATTTTTCAACATCCTTTGGACTCCAGAACTGGATAAAGTATACTAGTAACGATCTCACTAATTCCATATACAGAGGTAATACCACCCCTTTAGTCCTTCTTGATGTTCCTGTGCTTATACATCCAAAGATAGCTTTATCCTTCATAGCTACAATATCTTACTGGGAGCAGTTGTTCAATTGTGTATCCTGGTGACACCTATGTCCTTTTTCAGTGTAACTCTATTTCAGGATACAGTCCCCCAGTCTTGTAAGTTTGATCTACATAGTTTGTTTGATGCAGTGACATTGACTGTACCTCTACTAGCAAACTTCATACCCGTTATTTTCCACCAATGGTACCTGTTCTGAGCAGGGTTAAGTGATATGTTGGTAAAAAAGTCTGATCTGTCTCTTAGCTACAACTTCCACAGTTACTACCATGGGTGGAGTAGCATCAGTGAAGAATCACAGATGTGAATTTTGTTAGGGTACACACCTAGTGGCCAGATTGTGTGGTTTGGTTTTTTTTTTTTTTTTTGTTAAGTGCTCAGCACACACAGTTGGGTCCAGATTTTCAAAACAGCTCAGCATCCAATATGCTGAGCTCTTTAGAAAATCTGATCATAAGTATCCCACTGAAAACTGGGTATTGAACACTTCTGAAAATCTGCTACTTATTTAGATAACTACATGGAAGAAGAGCTCTTGAAAATCTGTCCTTAAACGTATACATGGCTTGATTGATTTTATATTATTCCAAATGCCCATGATCTTTTTTGTGTCAATAAATGAAAGGTTAAATTTGCATACATATTTGTTGCACAAATATTTCATTCAATCACTTTTTTCCACTTAAAACTTTTATTTGTGATACATATTTTAATTTTACTTTTTTCATTTTTAATAAGTTTTATTAACTGTAGTTTCAGCAAAGAGAAATACATGGAGGAAATCAAATATGATTGTGGCAAACATTAACCACAAAGGTAGAAAGTTGCATTTTTTAAATGATTTAAGAAAAACACAAAAAGTTTTCTCTTCGCTCAATTGAAGTTCCAAATGATTATAGTTGGAATTCATCAGTGCAAATACATTTTCCAATAGAGAACATTGTACCATAGCAGGAATGTCTTAATCTGAAACAAATTATTTGCCTTGTCTTGCATTTGTAAAGCATCTTGTAAATTTAAGACACTCTATAAAAGTTTTGTAATAAAAACAGCATGGGCGTCCAGCACAAGCCATGTAAGTTGTATGCTTGTGGGTGAAAATTATGTTTAGTGGTGTGACAACTGGAGGCAGATTAGTCTGATGAGCATAGCAAAGAATCAGGGGCCAGGACTTTCCTGAGTTCTAATCTTGACTCGGAAACTGTCCGATTACATGATGTTAGGCAAGTAAGTGAACCTTTGTGTCTGTTTCCTTATCTGTAAAATGGGAATAACGCCTTACTTTCCTCACAGGATTGTTTTAAGAACTATTGTACACTACATATGTACAAAATATTATGATTAATAAATGTATGTTGGTTACTAACCATGTGGGTGAATATGTGTAGGTGACTGAATTATAGGGCTATATTTACATTACATCATAATTAATAATGACTCCAAGAGTAGAAAATATTACAGCTTTTGCATTTCTTGACTCTTTTGGGCATTGTAATTGTATAATTTAACATTCCATTCACATTGGGGTTTCTGGCAAGGAACAGGAGAGTTTAAAATAAAAATAGTAAAAAGAAATTGTCTGTATGGTAACTCCTCACTTAGTCGTCCCGGTTAACGTTGTTTCGTTGCTGATCAATTAGAGAACATACTTGTTTAAAGTTGCGCGATGCTCCCTTATAACGTTGTTAGGCAACCCCCTGCTTTGTTCACTGCTTGCAGGAAGAGCAGCCCATTGGAGCTAGTGGTGGGAGCTTGAAACCAGGGTGGACCGGCAGCTGCCCATCAGCTCCCCACTCCCCTAAGTTCCCGGTGCAGCAGCCACCCAGCAGGCTATCAATTGCTGGCAGTTCAGCTGTCCCTCTCCCCCACTGCCATGTGCTGCTCCTGCCCTCTGCCTTGGAGCTGCTCCCCGGAGCCTCCTGCTTGCTGTGGGTAGGGGTAATATCAGGGTGTTCCCCTCCTCCCTGCTCCTACCCACCACTTACCCAATCTCCATAGAGCAGGGGGTGGACAGGGCTCAGGACAGAGGGAGCTTGCTGGCAGCAGCTGCTGTCTCAACTTGCTGATCTACTTAAAAAAGCAATGTACTTATACTCTGTGTGTGTGTGTAGATAGATAGTCTTTTGTCTGGTGAAATTTTTTTTCCTGGAACCTAACCCCTCTCCCCCCCCCCCCCCCC